GGAGGGAGGGAGGGAGGGAGGGAGAGCCTAACTCAATTGGCAATATTGATCCGGGAGAGCTTGGCTGGATTGCCGATCGGAGCGTGCATTGGATCCGAATCAGCCAGCACCGACTCCCTCACACCACGCATCGACTCGTTGGCCACAGTCTAGCCTTTGAGGATTCGAACGCTCGGTCCAACGGGACCAGAATGTGGTGGGGCCGGTCAAGATACATTGATTGCCAATAGCATCGAGGTATCGGCAAGCCACACTGTGTGTGCAGGGCGAGGGACAAAGGGAATGCTCGGTGTGATTCCCGCCCGAGGCTCCCGTTGGTGACAGATTGAAAAATAATGGCCAGAACGACCCAGTTTAAATGTATAACCTTTCCTCGACTTTGGCGGCCAGCGGATGAGATCGACACAGGTGGAGCGGGGCAGCTCTGATGTGCCTCGTCGCTTCGCTCAAGCATGCAGGCCGAACAAGAAAGAGAGTAAGCGAACCTGCGATCACAATGGAAGGGGTCCTCCAGAAGGTGCCGAAGGATCAGAGACAAGGAAATACAAGGTTTCGAGGTCCTAAGAAAGGAGGGGCTGCAATCCGGGGATCGAACGCCGGACACACTGTGCCAGTGCACTGACTGAACTCATCACCATCGCTGTGCACAGACTGTAGTCGCGCATCCGGCACCGACCCTGCTGTACTGTATCGGAGCCAGGCGGAAAACCTTGTTGGCCTCGCTTGGCTTTGCGCGCGGCTTCGATCCGATGCGATCGTGGCTTCAAGCAAGGGCGCAGGCAACGCTCGATCGGTCCGCTGCGAGATGCTTGCCAGTCGTCATACGCGACAGTTGGGCCTGGAAAGCCCGAAGCTCTAAAGTCGGAATTCAAGGGGTGTCTGCTTGCTCTTGAATTGGCACATGCCCTCTTGGCCATGGCTGGCAATCGCGGCTTCTGCAGCCGCTCGCGGGTCCTATCGACACGACCTTCAGCATCGACATCCAGGTCTTGAACTTTTAGCGAGACCGGGTTTTCCGCCCAGCCAAGCCATCAAAAACTCTTTCTCATTTTTTTTTCTGTTTATTTTCGACCCGCTGGCCAAGCAAGCCTTGATCGCACCCTGAATTCCCCCCCGGTCAGCCACACGTTCTTTGACTGCACGCAGCTTGTCTACGATTTCCAGGTTCGCGCAATCCAAGCTCGCATTTTGGATGCCTGTCTCGATCCTGTGCCTCTGCTCGCCTGCGCGCACTCCACTTCGGCTCGGGCTCTTGCTTGCCTCGCCTCTCCTCCCTCGCCCCAAAGTCGAGTCTAACTCTCTCTCTCTCTCCCTCTCTCCCTCTCTC